AAGGTTGAAGAGGTGTTGCAGAATCCCACAGAGCTGGTCTGCACAGGCCTTCAGGACTCTGAGGCTGACACCATCTGGACCTGCAGGCTTGTTCTGGTTCAGTCTCTCTAGCTGCCTCTTCACCTGACTTCTAGACACAGAAAAGTGGGAGGGGGAGGSAAAGGGAGCAGCAGCATCTCCTGATTTAGTTGAAGACAAACTTGTGGATGTAGAAGAGTCCATGACTGAGGGTGAAGATAAAATATCTGAGGTTTGACAGGAAAGAAGAAAAGAAGACATCTAAAGCTACAGCCTTGCAGGCCCAAAAACCACATTAGTGATAAATAATCAAAAATCTGGTTTTATTTTGAGGGCGGCTGCAAAGGTGTGATGTGGGTAGAAAGGACAACAAAATCATGTGCACAGCTTATAATATAGTTTTATAAGCTATTCATACAAAAAAGACCTCATTTTCAAAATCTGGTTACTCAAAACAGCCATGAAGCTGGCTTGTCGGTGACCAAGTTGGGGGGGCCAAAAGGAGACCCACACCAGCTCAGCACCTCTCACCACTGAGTAAAATGGTGGAAATATTCTGTTACTAGTCCACAATTCTGCTACAAGTTTCATAAACTTTTGTGAGCATTTGCATTTTTAACTCACTGTCTGCCAAATTATGTATGTTATCCCCCAGACTCAGGAAATATGGATGATGTAGAGCAGCTTCAGAGGAGATTCTGCTCCTGGTGTCGTACTGCAAACACAAGACAAAACTCATGGATTAGAACATCCCAAAAAAAATCACAATTCATTTTGAAAATAGTATCAATGCTTGTGAGAACCATTGCCTTTTGTGTCATACCAGCAGCAAAGCAGAGAGCAAATCAATTCCCTCAGTGTCCAATCTGATGAAGACAAGGAAAAAGGTTAAACTATCGAAGTACAAAAAGATAAGGAAATAATTAACTTGGGTGAAAATACTTTTTTCTTGGTTATGTGGTATTGTTTCCAAATGTCTTTAAATGTTCAAGTATGTTTAGGCAGCATGATATTTAAGATAAAAGCCTATAGTTTTGATGCCTTAAACAGTAAATTTAGAAATAGAACTAATGGCTGCAGAAATGCAGCTGTTTAGACAAATGTCCATCCAGTTTTTTTTTTTTAATTTATCGATGGTCAGGTCATGGAGGCAGGTTCAGGCAGGAAATTCTTTCTTAAACTACAAACTTTTCTTGTAGATCCAAAGAGATCCCCAGGCCAGGGAGGATACCAAGTCCATCCACTGAGTTCAGGGGTCTGCCCTGGGGTCTCCTTTCTGTGGGACATGCCCAGAAAACCTCCAAAGGGAGATATCCATGAGGCATCCTAATCAGATGCCCGAACCACTTCAGCTCCACTCTGAGCTCCCCATCGGTGGATCTTCTCACCCTGTCACATTATAACGTTTTACACAACTTATGCCCACTTAGGAAAATGCTGTTAGGGTTGTTTTACTCATATCGATTATATATTCGATCTAWTTGTTAGCATTACAGTAGGTAGAGGTCCTAAAGAAGCTTCCAGTAGATTTTTAATTCCTTCTTCAGCTTAGACATCTTTAGTGTTGGACAAACTTTCATAAGTTGGCCATGAACTTTGGGTAGTGACCGAAAGAACAAAGTTGTGGATACAGGCTGTTGAAATGAGTTTTCTCTACAGATTAGATACATGACCTATCCCTATCTCCCTGAGAGACATGGTGAGAAGTTCGGTTCTCCAGGAGAAACTCAGAGTAGAGCAGTTGCTCCTCCTTATCCATAGGAGCCAGTTGAGGTGGTTCATCTGGTGAAGATGCCTTCTAGACCTCCTGTAGGGAGGTGCTCCAAGCATGTCTGACTGGTAGGAGACACTGAGGAAACCTTGGACATGCTGGAGTCTCTCGTCAGGTTTGGGAACACCTTGGAGGTCCTCCCAGAACAGGAAGAAGTGGCTGGGGAAAGAGAGGTCTGGACCTCCCTGATCAAGCTGCTGCCCCCAAGACCTGACTCTGGAACGATAGACAGACAGACACAGATAGATAGATAGATAGATAGATAGATAGATAGATAGATAGATAGATAGATAGA